CAGGGCTAGTAGATAGCACAAGGATTGTTTACCCAGGTTCGGGCCGCAAGGATGCGTAAAACCCTAGTCCTGCTTTGGTGGGTGTATTTCTGAGAGTTCTTGAACTCCCGAACTAGTTGTAGTCAGTGTGTGGTTCCAAAGAGCCGAATCCCTCTCCTGGTCGTCTTGGGCCTCCTTTTATAGGAAAAAGGGGTTGCCACAGTGGCACACAGGAGGTGGAAAGGTCTACAGTGGCACGAGGTTATCCCTCGTATTACAGGACAAGGTGCATTTAATGCATCGCTTAGGTGTCCTCTTGCTTTATCGGGGACGGGGGTGAGGCCCGTCCCGTCCGTCGCCGCTCCTCCTTGCTTCGACACGCGCTTCAACCAGGGATGCATGCGGTGCCATGTAGGCAGGCAAGCAGCTGTGTTGGCGCGGTGGTGGAGCCTTTACGAAGATCTGCATGCCGCCACGCAGGCGCTTGATGAGTTGGCCTGGGAGCTGCATGTTGCCATGCAGGTGCCCGCCCAGCTGGTTGGGCTGGCAGCTGCATGTGAACGACGGTGGAAGCTTGGTTGACGTGGGCTTGGCGGTGGCCTTGCCGATGCCTTTGGTGAGGGCCTTGCCGGGTGGCCCGGCAAGGGCCTCGCCGTGGCTTGTTGTCGTCCCCGGCAAGGATCTTGCCGGGGGTCTGGTGGCCTTCCTTGGCAAGGATCTTGCCGAGGACCGTCGTCTTCTAATCTGATCTTGAATATGTCCTCATAAAGATCTGCATGCCACCACAGGGGTGCCTTCCCGAGCCCTGGCCCCATGCTGAAGATGGTACTAGGGGTCGTGGGCTCAAGGGTGGCTCGCTCTGTTGGTGCGGGGCGAGCTGCCCCGGCAAGAGTCTTGCCGGGGCTGCCGAGGCCACCCGGCAAGGGTCTTGCCGGGGGAACCTGCTTCGTCCCTCTGCTCTTTGTGGTCTTGGCCTCGGCGTCGCTTTGACTGTCTTGGACTTCGATCTTACCTTGGCTCACCCCCCTCGTTCTGCTTGGTGCGGCCACAAGCGCGGCTCTGACTGCCCGTGCGCAAAAAAAGGGGTACAAAGACGCACCCCTATTTTTGTACACCGGCAATATTACCCTGCAAGTTTGGTAAAATATAGACATGAACAAGAACACTTTTCGTTCAATGATCAACAATGGAAATGTGGACATCCATGTTGATCCCTATATTTTAATGAATGATATTCGAATGAATCATTGGTTATAACATGTTATTCCTTTTGCTTCATGATATGTTACAAAACCTGAGATGAGTTACATATGTATCCCCGTGAGGTCAACACAAGCTCACTATATTGTTCTTCCTCATTACCGATTTTGTTCTCTTTTCTCATTCTTGTATTTCGGCATCTCCGTGATCAATTCACGCTGTGTCTAGTCAGACGATGATGGATACCGTCACACCGAGAGGCCCCTAAGAATATCCCTTCATCGCTGGAGGAGTAAATCCCAGTCTCGAGCTATCCAGTCGCTTGTCATACGTTTTCGATGAGCCCGTAAGTTCCCGTTATGATCACTCAGTTACGGATGGCGTTGAAACAACCCCAAAGTTGACCATTCGGTATGGAGTGACTTGATACTCTCATGGTCTAATGAATCATATATATGTTAACACCTGTGTTATGGATTATAGACTTCATATGATATAATATTTAACTATAATATACTAGTTGGGTCAATTCAAGACGAGTGTTCTTCCAACATCGTGCTCTCAATATTATCGGCATTATTATTACACTTAACTAAGCCGGTGATTAGGAAAACAACACCATCATGCAATACTTGTCACAAAGGCAAGACCATGAATCATATTTTACCGTTTATAACTCTATACATGCTCATGAGTTTCATCTGAATCGCATATTCGAGAACCATTGCAGTTATAGCATAGAATATAAATATTAATTATAAACCTAAGAATAAATAACAGTTAAATATTATTATCTCTAGGGCATATCTCCAACACACAGTGTATTTATAGATTCATATTATGTCAAGTGCAGTGCTAACAATTATGTTCTAGGTAAACCCAATAACAAATGAACGTGATGCAATGAGCGTGTGATCTGCCTCCCCTTTGCCTACCACTTTGGTGGTCGGTGGCAGAGAGAAGGAATCCCGACGCCTTGGCTCCGGCTAGTATTTTAGGTTAGATTTTTTAATCCTCGTGAAGGGTGGCGCTCGGACACGTGGTCATGCTTTTTCTTGGAGTTAGTCTTTTAGCCTTCAATCCTTTTCGTGTTTGTTCATCTAGACGGAATTGAAGAAGCTCCGAAAGATTTATGTCGTCTCTTTGTTTGCAACAACGTTGGAGTTTTTCGTCGTGCCTGCCAGATGCCGAGATCTGGTGCCCGGCACTTTGAATCAATTTAGGAGCTTAATGGCAACAAGTGTGACTAAAGTGCGCTGGTCCTTACTTAGATGCACGTACACGAAGACTTTCTCGCTATCGTTGATAAGGTCATGTCGGCTTCGCGAAGTGGCAACAGTGGCGCCTTTTTATTTACGTTTATTTATGATGCTTGGTACTTTTATATAAACTTGTATAATGGTAGAAAATGTTCTGCTATACATAGGATGCTTTTTTTTGTTGGGGGGTGGAGAGAATGTTGGTAGAATATACAGCACGTAGACATCGTTGTTGTTGGGCTCGAGACGTCGTGGGTGGCGAGCAGCCGAGCACATGTCTTGTATTGGCAAAGCCTAGCTTGAAGCTTAGTCAACTGGTCCGTACTAGTAGTCCAGATTTTCAGCGATAGGGCGTTCCTCCCTTGAAGTCGATGCATTTAGAGCATCTTCAATAGGCGCCCAACGTGGCGCACGCAAAAAACAGCTTTAGCGCGCGTTCATCGTCTGGTTTGGCGCGGCGCGCTGCGTTCGCTCCAGCAGCCGTGTTAAAATGCAGCACGTGCGCGCCGCTCCAGCAGCATGCAAAAAATGCAGCGCGCACACAATATTTTTTTTAATTTTCAAACGCATAGATAAAATAAAAACTAGATAGATTGCATAAATAAAAAACGATACAAATGTATTTTACATCGGTGCAACTAGATAGATAGTTCGAAAGCATAGATAAACTACGGCGCAACTAGATAGAAACTACTCTAAGTCGCTATCATCATCACCATTATCATCTTCGGCGGTGTCGTCCGAGGTGTCTAGCCAGATGTCCAGCCACCGATCATCGTTCGACGCGAAGAACGACTGCCCACCTGCTGCAACGATGTAGGACTGCGCATTCACCAACGCCTTCCGCTGACGCCTTTCCAACCGCGTCTCGCGGCGCCTTCGCGTGTCCTCCTCGCGGCGCCTTGCCCAGTAGGCCTGCTCGTAGGCGACGTCCTCCGGGTGGCGCTGGCGCCACTCCGCCATGACCCGCTCGTCCTCCTGGGTGACGAGGAGGCGGCGTTGCCGCTCGGCATGCTCCGCACGGTCTTCCGCCGTGTTCAGACGAGGCAGAGGGGCGAGGTTGAGCGCTTGCTGGAGCGTGTACACATCTTGAAAGTTCATCTGGCCGCGCGGCCGGCCTAGGCGCCACGCCGCCGCGTCATACGCGCGGGCGGCCTCGCGCGCCGTCCTGTATGTGCCGAGGCCGAGCCGGAGTTCGCCGGAGCGTATCTCCGCGGTGTAGCAGCCGTTGGGGCGCAGATAGACGCCGCGGTAGCCGGACGCTCCTCGGCGGCGCGGCGGCATGGCGGCGCGGCGGTGGCGGGGCGCTGGAGCGGCGCGTGGCAGAGAGGAAGAGGAAGAGGGGAAGAGGAAGTGTGGAGAAGCGCGTGGCGAAGCGGCGCGTAGCTTTATAGGCGCGCGCGAAGCGGCGCGTCAAATCTTGCGCGCGAGCTGGCGCCTTTTCGCGCGCGCGCAAACGGTTCCTGCGCGCGCTTGTTTCCCGCGGTCGCTGGAGCGCGGCAAACCGCCCCGCGCACGCTAAAAGCTGGGTTTACCGCGCGCGTGTCGTTTGGGGCGTCTGTTGGAGATGCTTTTAGAGGCGAATTTCAGGGTTTAACTGGTCGTGGATACACCACAGCAGGAGGTGGACAAGTTGACGGTCTCGCCTGGCGGGTTTAGTCAGAGCAGAGTAGAGTAGATAGTTTACCGCACCTCGCTTTGATTACGAGATGGAAACGGAAAACGCCATCATGTGGATTCACTCGTACCACGTCGTGGAGTAATAAGTCTCTTATAGATAGGACTATAATATAAAGAACCTGTGAGAAGCACGCGTGGATAACGGTGGACGTGTCACGTACGTTGTGAACCGCAGATTCACACGCATAGATAAGCGTCGGACAAGGCAGCTCGCAGTTGGGAGACAGACAAGACTTTATAACTTGTTGGGAATAATGATACTGATAATTAAAACCCAGAAAAATACCCAAAAAGGGAGCTAAAGTCGGCATGTAGCTGAGGAGAGGAGAGGAGAGGAGGGGTCGGAGTCGGCATGCGCAGCCTGTATGCAATGCAATTGCAATTGCAAAGCAAGCACATTCTGTGAGAAAGCAACGTGTAGCGCGACGCATGCAGCACCTAACGAGGGAAGACCAACACCGGCGCGGGCGGAGCAGGGACGACGACCCGGGCGCACGTCACATGGCACATGGCAGGGCAACCACCGTGGCCCGAAACGGGAAAGGGTGCGAGGTGGAATGGCGCGGAAACCACGCCCGCCCGCGCTAACGCCGTAACGGCACCTTCTTCCCTCCCCCGCCTCCTCCGCCTAAATTTAGGAGCAAACTCTCTCTCTCTCTCTCTCTCTCTTCTCCCCCGCCATTCTGCTCTGCCCCGTGGCTCTGTGCTCCCGTGCGCAACGGCTCTTGCCGGAGCGGAAAATAGCATAGCAAAACGGAACCGCGATCGCAGGATCGCAGGAATCGTGGAGCTTCTCTTCCTCTTGTCTCCTTATATTCACCACCGCACACGCGTCCTCCCGCCACCACTGCCCATTCTTAGCCTGCCCCGACCCTTCTCCCCATGGCCTCTTCCCTGGCCGCCATGCCCCACGACTCCGCGCCATGGAGGGACCCCTCCACCTCCACCTCCACCTCCAGGCACAGGCGCTTCTTCAACGTCAACGTCCTCATACCGCCGCCGCGCCACTCCTTCTCCGAGGCCGCCGCCACCGCGCCCGCCGAGCCCACGCCCAGGCGCAAGCGGATTATATTGGAGCGCTGGGCGGCCGCCGCTGCCGCCGCCACGGCCTCCGAGCCGCCGCCTCCCGCCGATGCGCGCCGCCGCGACAGGGAGGCCGAGCTGTCCGCGCTCGCCTCGGCCACCCGCCCCGTCGCCGCCCGCGCCGCCGTCTTCCGTGAGCCCTCGCCTGCGCCGTCCGACGCCTCCTCCACGACCACTGCCGGCCCGGACCTGCCGCCGTCGGGCCCGCGGGCGTCCTCGCTCATCCAGCGCTGGCGCGAGATCGAGGCCGTGGGGCCCGTCACGCCCCGCGCCTCGGGCGACGTCACCTCTGAATCCGATGGCTCGCCACGCGGCCGCGTCGGATGCATCGTCAAGAAGCTCAGCGGGGCTGCCTCGCTGCCGGAGGAGGACCTGGAGGCCGCCAATAACGAGCTCGCGCTCTCGCAGTCCGCGCCCCCGTCGCCGACCCAGCTGCGCAACGCAGTCGAGTCGCTCGCCGTTCATATCAAGGGCACTCGGCCGCCCAAGCTGGTGGTCAGGACGGTACGCGGGCGCCGCGCAGTGGAGGAGCTTGTCGCTCGGATGGCACATCGTCGCAGGCGAGAGCTCGCCGCGCTCGCGGAGCGACACGCCGTCTCTCGCTTCGGGCACAAAGGCAGGATCCAGGTAAATTCGTATTCCATCAAAAAAGTTCACGCTGCATAATGCATTATACAGTATATATACTAGCATTAGAGTACAAAATTACCTCCATCAACCATAAATTGATTTCGATGCAAAAAAAACAACCATAAATTGATGATCAGTGACGCAATTTTCTTAGTATCGTTTTGGAAACATTATTTAAGACGAGCCAAGAAGTGTGAGTTGTTGGTTTTAGACCCGCAAGGATGGGGCCGGAGAACTGTTTGGTAGATCGGTTTCCCAACTGGCATTGCTGATCAATGGCATGTGCAAACTCCATAATCATGCTTTATTTCGGCTCAACCAAAAATAGACGGGAATGGTCTAAAAACTTGACAGCCCCTTAGTCCTTACATGTTATTATGTGACCATCAAACTAGTTAGTGATCTTATTTGTGACTCTGGTGAATAGTCGCAAAAGCTCGACCAAAAGATCCAATAATCTTGATCGTGGAAACTCTAGTACCCTATAGCCGCTCATGACCTTTGCAGATCTGTTTGTATGTCATTATGAATGAGAAAAGTTAACATACGTAGTAGTACTTTCAATGGCAGTAATATGCAACTAATTTGCTGGTGACAGTGGAGCAACGTTCAGTACAGTTTTTAGAACGGAGGCGCTTGCCGGCCTTAGAATGAGGCCCTTACGTTCAGTACAGTAGGATGGGCGTTTCAATGCCAGACTGATTGAGGTTATGGCTTGGATCCCTGAAAAAGGGGGCTATAGCTTGCACCCCTCAAAAGAAAAAGAAAAAAAGTTGTGGCTTCTCATAGCTGATGGATGAGATGTCACGAGTGAATATCATCTCTGGTTTGTATCATGTGGAGATTGTGATTGCTGCACAGTTGTGGCCAACAAGCCAAACAAACCATACCACATGACTTCACAGGTTACTTGCTATAGCATGTACCAGGGACATAAATATGAGTAATGGCTGGGCAGTTTAGTTGTGCAAAGTACAACGCAAATTTCAATTCTTCTTAATGGCATCGCCTTTTAGGTTGTGTTATTTTTTTTTCTGCCATACCTTCAGTTACTTTTTTTTGAAAGATCCGGGGTCACCGGCTTCATTGATTTAGAAGAAAGCAGCGAGAAATACATGAGTGATCAAGTGATCGTGGTTTTGGGAGAGCTAAGAGTGGCCAGAGCTAGGCCAGTTACATGACCAGGGTGTTTCATCTCACAACATCCTCCCCGAACGGGGCCTCAATGCATCGCGCTCCTGCGAGCCGCCAGAGCTCCATCGTGTTCTTGATGGCTCGCAGAACGTCCTCCGTCCGAGGCGTTTTTCCTCTGAACACAGACGCATTCCTCTCTTTCCAGAGCTCCCACGTGATCAGCAGCATCATCGTCCTTAGCCCCTTTCTGCAACTTTGAGGCGTTGAAGCAATCAGCCTTTCCCAATGCCTGAGAGAGCTGTGACCTGCTTCCCGCGCTTCATTGAGCAGTGCGCAACCATATCTACGCGACGCTGCCTGCCAGACCGTTCGGGCGAAAGGGCAGTCCCAGAAAAGGTGAATTGAGCTTTCCAGATTTCTGTTGCAGCAAGCGTAGAAATACCCGCTGGGCCACCCTCGCCGTTGTAGGCGATCGTTGCACCAAAGCTTGTCTTGGTGGAGCAGCCAAGCAAAGATCTTCACCGTACCTGGCGCCCAAGCTCTCCAAATCGCAGTTGCTTCACCTGAGGGAGGGATGTCACTGATCTGTAGATCGTAAGCAGCCTTTGCCGAGTAGTTTCCTCCTCCTGTGGTTGCCGCCCAGCTGATCGTGTCCTCGTCGGAGGAAAGAAAGATGCCTGCGCCCTGAATTTTCCTCCACATTTGCAAAAACTGGTGGGCAATCTCTGCTGTGTTGCCATGCCGGAGGTCACGCACCCATGTGTCATTTGCCAGCGCGTCTTGAACTGTCCTGTTTTTCCTTCTGGAATGCTGAAACAAGGCGGGGAACTCGTGTTGCAGCGCCACCGGCCCGATCCATTTGCAAGTCCAGAAAAGCGCTGTTTTTCCGTTGCCCAAGTGCACGTTGGTGGCCGATGCAAACAGCTCCAGGTCCTCCTTGACACATGGGGCCGGGAAGTTCATCCAAGTCCGGCGTGGCTGTTGCCATGAGAGCCACAAACCAGCGCAGCCGGAGAGCTGTGCTGAAGCGATGTAGATCTAGCAAACCAAGCCCCCCCTTGTCCACCGGAAGACAGACTTTGCCCCAGGCCACCTTGCATTTGGCGCCGGTGACATTCTCATCATGAGCCCATAAAAACTGCCTCCTTGCTTTGTCCACGTCTTTCAGGATCTTTTTCGGCACTTTGAGGACAGTCATTGCAAACACCGGCAGCACCGTCAGAACGGCACGCACCAGTACTCTTCTTCCTGCCATGTTCATCAGCTTGCCCTTCCACCCAGCCAACCTTGAGTGTATCCGGTCGATGATAAATTGGAAATGCACCAGCCTTAGCTTCCTTGGAGAGATTGGCAGTCCCAGGTATGTGGTTGGGAACGTGGAGTGCAGCCCCCCAAAGTTTTGCAGAACCACATCTAACTGAACATCAGCACAGTTGATTGGGATGACTGCAGATTTAGCCTGGTTTAACCTCAGTCCCGTGGCTTCCCCGAATCTGCTGAGCAAGTGCAGCAGTGCATCCACTTCCTCCTTCACCGGGTTTGCGAAAATGACGGCGTCATCAGCGTATAAGCTGACTCGCATGCTGATGCCCCGGCCTGGCAGCCGAGCGATCATCTCTTCCTCCGCAGCAGCTTGAAGGAGGTGGTGAAGGGGGTCAATCGCCAGGATGAAAAGCAGCGGGGATAGTGGATCACCCTGCCTAAAACCACAGCCATGAGAAATTGATTGGCCCTGCGTTCCGTTGAGCAAGCAGGCGGAGGTGGCAGAGGAGAGTAGCAGAGCTATCCAGTTTCTCCATCTCGGAGGGAAACCCATTTTTTGCTTGAGCTCGAGCAGGTACTCCCATGACACCGAATCAAAAGCCTTTGCTATGTCCAGTTTAAAGAAAAGCGCCTTTTTCTTCGTTCTATGCAACATCCGAACACAACTCTGTACGTACTGATAGCTCTCGTGGATGCATTTGCCTTTCTGAAAAGCAGTCTGTGCCGGTGAGATGATTGTATCTAGAGCCCTTGCCAGCCTTGCAGAGAGCACTTTGGAGATTAGTTTGGCAACTGAGTGGATCAAGCTGATTGGCCGATAATGGTTGACCTCTGAAGCTCCATTTTTCTTTGGCAGCAGTGTAATCAGAGCCGTGTTGATCTCTTGGAAATTTTGCCCAGCCACCTGATGGAATTTGTTAAACACTGCCATGATGTCATCCTGAATGATGTGCCAGCAGGAGCGGAAGAATTGTCCCGTGAACCCGTCAAGGCCAGGAGCTTTTTCCGTTGGGGAGGAGAAGATGGTTGGCCAAACCTCGGCTATGGAGAACGGCGAGTCCAAACCTTGCGGATCAATGGTGGGAATGGCCAGTCGTTCCCAGTTTATGGTGGCTTTTCTATCCTCCTGCTTGCCCAGAAATCTGGCGAAGTGATCGTGAATAATCCTCTCCTTTCCGTTGTGATCGAACACCTCCAAGCCATCCTCCCTGAGGGAGTGAATGAAGTTTTTTCTCCTTCTAGCTCTCACTCTTGCGTGGAAAAACTTCGTGTTTGCATCTCCTGCCTTTAGCCAGGTAATCCTAGAGGCTTGCCTCCTTCTTGCCCGCTCAATGGCTGCTAAACCAAGCACTTTCATCTTGAGCTGCTTTCTCAGATGAAATTCTGCAGGCGTGAGTACTTTGTTTTCTTGCGCCACGTTGAACAGACGTATGACCTCATTTGCGATGTGCAGCTGCATTTTTCCTTTACCAAAAGAGACCTTGCTCCAAATTCTCAGGTCAGCCGCTGTTCTGTCAAGCTTCATCTTGATTCTGACGGAAGGGCAGTCGTGCTGCACTGGCCTTTGCCAGGCATGAGTGACTGTTTGGAAGAAATGAGGAAATTTAGGCCAGAAGTTTTCAAATCTGAACCTAGCGCTTCTTCGTGGTGCATCCAAGCAGAGAGAACCAGGGGGCAGTGATCTGAGAAAGAAGTTGACGCAGCAAACAACATGTGGTCTGGGTGCGATTCTTCCCAGCGCGCGTTGCAGAAAATCTTGTCAATGCTGCACATGTTAGGGCTTTCTCTCTCATTGCTTCAAGTGAAACGCCGGTTTTTGCACTTGACTTCCTTGAGCCCTGCTAAATCAATGGCCCGACGAAACTTCCCGATCATCCTTCTGTTTATGTTGGAGTTGCTCTTGTCTCGCGCTTGATATATCATGTTGAAGTCATCGTTGATCATCCACGGCTCGTCAGCAGGAGGGGCGGCAGCAGCTATCTCCGATAGGAAGCTTTCTTTTTGTGCATCATCAGTTGGGCCGTAAATCGTGGTCATCCAAAAAACCTTCCTTGAACTCCTTTCGTGCACCCTAGCCATAATGGAGAAACTACCCAGGTAGTGCGAAGCTACGTCGACTACATCCTTGTCCCAGAAAATCGCTGCGCCCCCTCTAGTCCCCGTTGCCGGCAGCACCACACACCCCTGCAATCTGCTACCTCCTATCTCTCTAGCTACCGCAGTCGTCCAGGTGTCGATCTTAGTTTCCTGTAAACAGAGCACTGCTACTCTATGGGAGGAGGCTACGTCGCTGATGACCGTGCGTTTTGCCGGCAGTTCAAACCTCTAACGTTCCAGGTCATGAAGGTTAGATTGCCTTCATCCATCTAAGAAACTGAAATTGCACCGCCAACTGAACCATCTACTTGAAACAAACAGAGACACCATACAGCGAAACCAAGGGCGACGACGGCCACCAGTAGCCCCAAAACCCCGTCGTCGTCGAGCCGTCCACAATGCCGGAGAACTAAACATAGAAACTAATCCTAACTCGAACTGGTTTAAGACCAGCCGCTGGCAGAGACTAGCTAACACTAAAACTACCAACATAATCAGCCTTGCATGATCTCCTCCGCGTCGGCGATTCCTGCCATGCCCGCGGCGATCGTCAGAGCACCCTGGTTGAGCCCCGTGAGCTTGGCTATCGCAGCAATGCCGTCGGAGAGTGGTTCCTGGAAGCGCTTCATGATCCGCGCTGCAGCTCTTTCAGTCATCTTGTCCTTCGGGCCAAGCTCTCCCAGCTCCTGAACGAGGCGCAGCACCGCCCTTTGCGCCACGGGGATGGAGGTGCCCGCGGCCGCCTGCCGAGCGCTGCGGCGAGATGGGGCGGAGGTGGCCCTGGACTTGGGCGGGGCGGAGAGGCGAGGACGTGGAGGCTGGCTAGAGAGGATCGGGGGCGGCACCGGGGCGAACAACTCCTCAACCTGCGCCTTCCCGTTGTCGATGCACATGGCGCCCACCTGGTGGGTGACCGCCTCCATCTGGAAACCCACCGTCGCCGTAGCAGGGGAGGCGATGCAGGGCAGCAGGCACGGAAGCATCTCCGGGCTCTCCAGCTCGGGTGGGTTTGCGGCTTGAGGGGGAGGGGAGCGGCCACCGTCTTCGAAGGCAAGCGGGGTGACCAGGGCTTCCTGCATGGCGCTCTCAAGCTCCAATTGCATGCAGTCTGTGCGCGGGGGTGGAGGCAGGGCGCGCCCATTGTCGGAGAAGGAGAAGAACTGGGCCACCGGGTCCGCCTCCGCCGCGGGGGGAGGAGGAGGCGCAGAGCGCAGGGGGAGAGGTGGTGTTGCGCGCAGGACATGAGCACCCGCGGCCTTGCCGCCCGCCCGACGGCCGTGCCGGTCCGTCCCGTGGCGACGCCTGGCAGGGGATCTGCTGTGGCGCCGATGCGCCTCCCTGACGACGTCCTCGTTGCAGCTCCTGTCGTGGCAGCCGCCGCCAAGCAGGCGATCTCTCCAGGAGCGGCTTGCCCCAGCGCCTCCACTTCCGCCGTCCTCCTCGCGGTCACGGGCACCACCTCCGAGCACAGGGCCGCAGGCCGCAGCCCCGACACGCGGCGCCCGACTGAGGGCCTTGCCCTGCCCATCCTTGACGTGCGCCACCCATGTGCCAGGCTCGTAGCGCGGGAAGGGGCGGTCGTCATCTTCATCCGAGGATGGCAGCCCGCTCTGGCCGGAGTGCGAAGAGCGCGGCGAGAGGGGGGTCCAATCCTCCAACAGGTCGACGTGGATCAGGAGATCATAGCGCCGAACGCCTAGCGGCGGGGGGATGCGGCGATCAGCGGGGGCGAGGCCGACGATCTCGTCCGCCCGGCCCGCGCCCCGCTTGAGCACCCAGAGCGCGCGCTTGGTGGGGATGTGGGCAACATCCCACACCCAGAGCCAGAACGCGAACGTCTTGGTGTGCCCTCTCTTCAGGGTGCGCGAGTCGAGCCGGTCGACGCGGCCGACGTCGCCGAGGGCCTCCTCTGCACCCAGCAGCGACCAGAACTTCATGGGCAGGTCTTCAACGACGACGCGAACGTGGTGGTGGAACTTGAGAAGCGCGGCGTGGTCGTCCTCATTCCAAGCCCTGATGAAGTACTTGCATCCCTCCACCTTGATGACGCCCCGGCGCACGGCGTTGTCCCGGTGCGCAGGGAGGTTGAAGTGGACTAGGAAAGCTTCTGGCTGGTGGGCAGTGACGCGAAGCAGGTGCGGAGGGGTGGAGAGCTGCTCGAGGATGACCCTGCCCACCACGGCGGGGGTGGTGGAGTGCGAGCGGTCCGCAGCGGTGAGGGTGACCGCGTGCTGGCGTAGCACGTGCTCCTCGATCTCCAACGCCGGGGAGGCCACGATGATCTTGCTTCTCTCCCGCGGCCTCCTGGCCGGGTCGCAGAGAGCGAGGCTTGCCATGGGGCAGGGGGGCGGGGTGGGGGTGGCGCTGGCGGGAAGACGACGCGGTCGCGGACCGGAGCTCTTGGTGCAGCCGGGAAGATCAAGCGAGCACGGGCAGCCCCTCCCGGGCCACCGTTTCTTGGGTTTTGAGGGCACTCCTTGCCGAAATGACCCGCCCGCTTGCAGATGATGCAGCGGAGGAGGGGATCCCGGCAATCTACGCGGCGGTGGCGCTTACTGAGGCAACGGAAGCATTTACCTTTGAACTTGCTTAAAAAGGCCTCCCTCCCCGCATCCGCCTTGAATGATCTGCGGCGGTCCGAGCGCAGGGTCGGAGCACGCCCGCCTCTATCCGCCG